CACACACACACACACACACACACACACACACACACACACACACACACACAGTATAAAAAAATAAATAATAAATATCGATTGTTCGAAGGGAGAAAAGAGATATGAGAGAGAGAGAGAGAGAGAGAGAGAAAAGATTCTTTAACAATACCTCGACAGAGAGAGAGAGAGAGAGAGAGAGAGACGAGTGTGAGAAGAATATCGAATATAACGGCGTCGTAACGGTTGATTCGCTCGCAGTTAATCTATATAATGCCGACGTCAGCGTGTCGCGCGTTTAACGACGTTTATGTTTTCACCAAAATAATGGAAAATATTTCGCTCTCGTCGACATTTTTCACATAAACGAATGTGTTCTTCGATAGTATTGTCGATATTGTAGGCGTTAATAATAAATGCGCGATTGCATATTCTCTATTCATTGCATATAGACGACAACCGATGTTGGCGAGCTCTCTCGAAGACATCTGTCTGCGTCCGATTGGCGTTGACAGTTTGGAGTCGTTTCCAAATAACAAGCGACCACATGAGACGAGGCAAAGTGGGGCGAGACGGGACGAGACGACACGACGCGACGCGCCAGCCCGAGTCGATTCGCCCGATCGTGAACAATGATATGACGCGAGCTAGCTCATCCGCTCGAAGAAGCTCATGACTCAAGAGATATAAGCGGAATGAGCGGATGAGCAGCGACAACAAAAAGGGCGTACGTAGATCTGTATCGTCGTAGTGCACAACGTCGAGAAACGTCAACCAAAGTGTTGGGATTTCGTTGATTGAAGAATATCGCGGTGTTACCTGGGTATGCAATTCGGAGGAGTACGATCCACTTCCCAGGTAGCGAACAATCTCATGGGAACAGGCCGGGTAGCCGGGGATGTCACCTTCGTCCGTTCCGCCATTTTTGGCCCAGCGGCTCACGAGACAAACACAACTCCTACGACTCGACTGGTCTCGTTGCGCCTCGCGACTCGCAACGCGACTACCTATGACCGTGAACGCGGTTCGATGCGGAAAATCGGCCCGACTCCAAGTCATCGGTGGCGCCACATTGACCCCCGCCTGCCATTCGTTTGGTCGTGTGCCGTTTCAACGTCGCGCTGGCGGCATCTGTCGCAAGTCCAGTGAGGTCGTTCTAATTCGAAATAACAGGTCGGTATTCATAGACTTATTCTTCTACGTATTATAGAAGAAATTAATCTCAGCAAAAAAAAATCACAACGAATGTGCGAGTATCTTTACTTACGAGTCGATCTTTGTTTCACTGCTCAGCTCCTGCAGGAGGAAAAGATTGTCCAATGGAGGATCAAATGGTAAAACTAAAGAGACAGATCGTTGTATTGCCCAAATATGATATTATATATTCGCTTGAATTTTATTACAAAAAATGTACAGGAGTGATATTAGTAACCAAATAATAAATAAACACGTTTCCTTCTCTTGACTGTATGTTCCATAGATTTCACTTGCACTGGCTGTTTAAATCAAATGATATGACAACCACCACATTAGAAAAGGTTGTATGCCAGCTAAGAACAGTATGAAATAAAGTCGCCTTTTATTGCCAGAAGCTGTATACGAGCTATGGCCTTGGGGAATGACTCTTAATTTTAATGATCGCATCAGGAAGAAAGCTAGAGAGACACTGAAGTACAAGAGAGTCACATAGTAACCAAATTTCCGAGATAATAGTGATGAAAACAAAGCCGCATTGATACCGACATATTTGTAGCCACAATATGCCAACAAATCTAATGTTGTCAGGCTTGTTTGAAGATTCATCACATACAAACTCACAGTATGAACAATCAGTTCAATCAGACCCCAAGCAAGAGCAGAACTAGCCAGAATACCTAGTTGTTCGTGAGTAAAGCGTCCTTGTGTGCCTAAGACTAATCCTGCTGTAGCAACATATGTAAAAAATGCCATTGTGGGAATATACATGTCTGGTGCATTCTTTTCATATCGTGGTTGCAACGGTACATCTTGCTCATACTTGACAGACCAATCCTATAATAAAGAAACAGTTGTTTTATGTTTATTTTATATTGACAGTTTTATATTTCGATTTATTTCCACAAGTCGAGAGAGAGAGAGAGAGAGAGAGAGAGAGAGAGAGAGAGAATTATTAAATTTACAAAGCTCACCTTATGCGTAAATGGGAAAAACAACAGCATCAATTTTGCAAAAACATAATCTGTATTTACAGCAAAGTAATATTTCAATGCTGTAATTGGAACATATTTTTCAAGATGTTGCTTCCCAGAACCAACTAATGCATTTCCATATTCTACCGCCATGTTTGTAACAACTGGTTGAGCCAATAATTGTGTCGCAAATTGAGAACTTGCAAATTCTCCTCCTTGATTATCATTTTGTGGGTAATTTGGCATCTGTGAATGAAATCCATATGGAGGCGGTGTCTGTCTAGGAACATTGAAGCCATACTCTGGCATTGCGCCATTGTTCACTGGTATCTAAGAAGTTTAGAAAGAATATGAAA